AAATTGTTCAAAGAAAAATAGAGGGGAGGGGGGAAAGGAGAAGAAACTTAATTATTCTGTCCAAATGTATAAAATAAATTAGTTACCTTGTATACTTATAATTGGACTCCTGGTATTAGTGATGGGCCATAGGTTTAGCCATATCACCTCCACAACTTATTCTGAATTAAAAAGTGAAATGAAATTGTAAATTTTTTGTCAGTCAAATTGTATAATTAATTTCACTCAAATTGAAATGAAAATTATTACATTGGCTAACAAATAAGTGTCAGGCACAGCAATGGGATGTAAATTTGCACCTGAATTAGCCAACCTATTCATGGATAGACTGGAGAACAATTTTATTCTCCAACCCAATAATTCTTACAGTGATTGTATCATTTTTTACAAAAGATTTTTGGACAATATCTTCCTGATTTGGAAAGGTACAGTAGGATCCTTGATTGAATTCGGTAATTATATAAACCAAATACATAACACTATCAAATTTGAATTAGTATATGATAAGTATAAGTCGTTCCAAAACACTGCCCAAACGAAAACTTTCTTTATAAATACGTTTTGCAACTGTCAAAGCAAAGGAGCGATTTATGGTATCCAATGTCCCTTTGGTAAATTGTATTTGGGTCAAACATCTAGACCTGTAAATGTCAGAATATGTGAACACCGAAGCTGCATTAGATTGCATAAACATTCTGCACCATTAGTAAACAATTTTCTAGACTTGGGACATACGGATAAACAGCTAAAATTTTGGATCATCGAGACTGTACAGACTACCAACCCGAACATGTGCAGAGTGCTCCTGAGAAGAGAGTTGTTTTGGATTTACCAACTACAAACATGGGCGCCTTTTGGACTGAATGAGGAAGTGGACTGGACTTGCTGTTTGTGAACATCTGTAATTGTTTTTTGTCTATTCTGTATGCTGACCTGTCCCCCCCCCATGCTGCTCCTTATCTCCCTCTCCTTTGTACCCCCTCCCATCTGGTACTTTTCCTGGCTGGCATTGTGCAATGCTAATTGGTGATTGCATCACCCTGGTTTCACTAATATATATTGAAGCCAGTGCAGCAGCTAATAATAGAATTTTCACCTTGATGGAGGGACACACATTCAGACCTACAAAATCGCTGTTACCAGGTTTGTTAGCCAATGAAATAATTTTCATTTCAATTTGGGTGAAATTAATTATACAATTTGACTGATTTTTTTTTTTACAATTTCATTTCACTTTTTAATTCAGAATAGGTTGTGGAGGTGATATGGCCCATCACTAATACCAGGAGTCCAATTATAAGTATACAAGGTATCTTTATCTTTGATAGAATCACTTTTTATTCAATAATAATGTCTTTTATACATTTGGACAGAATAATGAAGTTTCTTCTCCTTTCTCCCCCCCCCTCTATTTTTCTTTGAACAATTTCAGGAAACAACATCCGGTTTAATTATATGTGTAGTAAAACTCTGTAACAGGCCTTTGAATGTGTGTCTAGAATATATAGATAATAGTGACCACTGAGGAAGGCCCTTAGGGGCCGAAACGCGTTTGGTCTTCAGTTGTAAAGTATTTACCCATCAGTTGTAAAGTATTTACCCATCATATGTATGCATAGTTGATAAGCTTTTATAGTCTGATCTTAGACAAAGTAATTTTTAATCAGGAAAGTTTTAACATGTGTACACCTTAATAAATATTTGTACTTTTGTGTGTGTGTGTGTATATTTTTACATTTTGTCAGTTTTCCTGGTCAGTCCCCCCAATGCAGTCTTGGAGGAGAAGCAACTCTGTGCAGACTTTAGTGGCAAGTGGTGACTATTAGCTGATTAAAAAGAAAAATCTTCTCTAAATAGGTGACCTTTATGCTTACTGCAATGAACAATTTGCATGTAGATGACTTGTTCCAGTACCACTTTGATCATATGCTGTCTATCCATTGTTTTGTCACACAAGCAACTATCAGGCCACACAAACAACTATCAGGCAGTAATACCGAAAACAGCAGAGATACTGTTGTGGCAACTTTGACCTTTTCACAATGCTACAGGATGCGGTTGTGGTAGTACTGCAGTTTTGTGACATGGAAAACACTCACGTATCGTACCTATAGAAAGCAATTTGATTGCATGTCTTAAAGCTGCTTTTGTCCACGGCCTCATCTTCGACACTGCATAGAGGAAAGTATAATTTAGGCACATACTGAGTGAACAAATATGTACCCCTCTTCTGCTACACAAATTCTCATTTTGTCTAGTAGAAAAAGTGAACAATGTAAAAGTAACACTGTAGTCACTGTTACTTGTGACATCTTGTAAAAAGTAGCAGATAGCCACAGAGAATATCTATGAAATTAATGAGGGTCATGTTTTATACATACTCCTCCTTTTAAAAATGAACTACTATAGAAATATACAATATGTACAGATGCTTATGACAGAACAATCTGTGTGTAGTCATAGGGTTTGTCAATACCATTTCAAAATAAATGACAACTTTGGTAGCAGCATTAGTTCAGCAGAACCACAGTGTCAGAGAAATAATGCTAAATAGAAGTAGCTCCAAACATTGCTTTTTCCCTCTGTTCATATTTTCAAACTGAGCAAGTTATCCATTACTGCTTTATCTCAAAAAGCCTTTGTTGTATCTAGAAATCCTAGTACACAGCTTCAGGTTCACCTTATCAAGTTTGCATATTTTTGCTTCGTCCTGCATGATGCCCTACAAAACAAACAAACCAGAATCTTCATGTCTGCTCAACAAAACAAAAGAGTATACTCAGGATTTATCAGTTACAGTACACAACGAATGTGTGTTACCTTGTGTGTAATGTGTGCAGCTTTGAGAATGCACTTTTGCTTAAAACCTCATATGCTATATTGTAGACAGTTTCAGCAAAATTATTTATTTACTAAACCAGAACAAAGATGACATAAACTGCATGTATAATTCATTGCACTGTTTCCTCATTTCATCTTATTACACTCTACTACATTATAAAGAAAAGCAGGAAATTTTTAGTACAGGAAACTGTAGAACTTTCTACAGCAGTGTAGCTATCTATATCCATATAGTAAAACACTTAACACGTTAACAATAAGAGTTCAATGATATTTAAATCGACACGAGTTCAAGCCCTTTCACTTGGCATTTTCACTTCTGTTGGCAAACACATTATTTTCTATTTATAACACTTTTCCACGTTCATAGCTGAAAATATGCATTTCATAAGGGTATTATCTGTAAATTAAACTACCCGTTTTAAAGTGTTCACTGCTGTTAATTATCTGTATGTAGGACACTCTCCTTAGGGGCACAACCAGTGCTATCTACAAGTAACCTACTGTAGAACCACTTGGGTTTACCTGATTTCCTCCTGCGTATTTGACTCCATGTCGTTCCCGCACGCTGCTACTCTGAACGAAAGCACTACCTACAGCTGTAGCCTAGCCACACTTAAATAGAACAGGGAATAGCCGAACGCAGAGAAAAGCTTTCATCCAATGACAAGGCATGATTTCACTTTCTGTCAGCATGCTGGGAAATGGAGTTTTTGTCCCCAGACAGTCCTGTTCTGCCGTTTGGTTTGCAAACATAACGTGGAGCGACCAGGCATCTGACATATATTTATTTCTCTGGAGCACTGAACAGAGTACTGAAAACCTACGGCTGATTTTTTTTTTATGTGCTTTACTCAGAGAATTATAAGTGTTGTATATTTGGGGCTAAGCCAACCCCCAGAGCTATAACGTTATGTTACTTATTAATTACATGTCTCGATACCCGACTTTGGAAAAGGAGATTCCAAAGTCTCTCTAAGCGGACTGATACATTCTGTAAACCGTTTGATGAACTGATCATCAATATATGAGATTTAAGAATTGGTAACCGGTAATAATTCAACATTTTAGGATTTCCAGATCAAAATAAGACTGCCAGCCTGCCAGCCAGAATTATTAGCATCAGCCATATTACCATTAACATAGTTTTTATTATGAGAAAAGCCTGGGCCATGCCTATATTGGTCAGCTCAAGAAACCTCACATGAAACACCCTTAGATGTGCTGTGGCAGACCGTGATTACTGACTGGGGAAGGAAAGAACTAGGCACACATCCGGGTACATACTCTCTCAAACCCGCATAACCTGTTCAAGTGCAAAAAACTTTTGTGACTCTGGCTCCATTGAAGGGTGTCAGTTGCCTGTGATGAAATGACTCTGTGCAGGAATCATATGTTCTAAATGTGCCCATTATTTTAGATCGTGTGGCATCAGCGGTTCTTTCCCAACGTACTTAAAACGCTTGGGCAGGAACTGTATTTGTGAGACATCCTGAATCACGTCTGGACTTATGGTAGCAATATTAAAACGGCATTCAAAACTACACAGGGGAAATTACCATGCCAGTGACGGGGAACCCCATCATGATACCGATTCTTTATTTTCTCCCCCCCCCCCCCCAACCTTTGCTTGCTGTTTGGCAATGCAAAGCTAGGGCTTTTTATTCATCTATATAATATGACGAACAATGGAGACGACGCAAAACCCATTTTTCAAGGTGCAGTGACAAGAAAGCATGCTCTGATAACGCGTCACAACAAATTATGGCTTTCAGAGTAAACGAAAAACCTACAGGCCCAACTGTCGTTTTCCCTTTTTTGGTACACATCAGTTAACCAAAGGAGCTAAGAGACTTATTTCCTGGTTTTACCGCCACAGTTATTCCCAGCCCCCGGTCCCGAGTTTGGTCTTCAGAATTGTAACCCTTGTCACGATTCTGCTACAGAATTTCTGCACCTTCGAAGCTACAACTATGATGTCACGCCTCTGGTGCGACTCGTCCCCACGGCGTCGGCCAGAGACCCCACAGAGACCCCACAACATACAGGTTGAGGCACGCTCCCCGCCCACTGTGGTGTCGGCTGCACCAATCAGGTGTCGCCCCATCACGCACCTCCCTTCCCTCCTGCACCGAGCCTCTGGCCTGGTGAGCGGAAGGGGCGGACTGAGGACTCTCGAGCGCTTTCGCTCCTTGACACTTTTGCTGCGGAGGGATGGCGCGGGGCGTCTCGGTGCTCTATGGGATGCTGCGGCGGTGGCTTTGCTTAGGACCGAGCTTGCTGTTCCTTCAGCTCCTGCTTGTGTGTCCGCCGGGCCCGGCTGGAGCTGGCCAGCTCTCCAAGTGGCGGCTGCCGGCGCCCATGGTGAGCTAGAAGGGCGGCTGACCGTCCCCCCTCCCCCTATCCTGACAAGCAAGCCTGGGCGCATCCGGGAGGGAGAGTGGCGCGGCATCCTGGAAGGCAGGGATGGGCTGTCCTTGGTGGGGGTTAAGGTAGGGTGCTGACAGGTGAACCAGCTGCCTCCAGCTGGTTGTTTTCGAGGGAAAGCTTGTAGCGTCCCAGACTCCACGTGTGAGCGCCACCGCTGGTGCTCCTGTGTGCCCTCTGCTCTGCCTTCTGGTTACGCCACCTGCAGCGGGGGCGCGGAGAGACTGAGGCTTCTTGGCTTCCTCTTGCTGTGCTGCAGCACATGGCGATCCGCGTCGGGTCCTTTCCCATATTCGGGCAAGGTTTTGTTCCGCTTCAAATCTTGGCTGGCAAGTTTAATCTGATCCCGAAGTTACCCTAATAACCTGTTCTTAGTGTCAGGGTCCAGCCCTGCAGCAAAGAAAGAGCAGGCCTCTGAGCCTATGGAGAGTGTGTTTTCCTCAGCAACCAGGGCTTTCTCTTGCATTCCTGAATTAAAGCGTAAATGGCCCTGATGCTGGAAGGTTCATAATCTCTTGCCTAGGGCTGATTTATTTGACTTTAAATGCTGGAAATTGCCCTTACCTAGTGAGAATTTTCGTTGTGGATAAAAGTTTATATATATAAAAAACTCATAGATTTACAGCTTCTATAAAAATAAAAGGTGCTGCAAGTGTTTTGGGGAATTTCCACAATTTACTAGCTGTTTTTTCTTGTGTGTAATCTGCTCGTGAATAATGTAAAATCAAGGGAGCGGCTCAAGAATGTTGTAGCATGGGTGGCACAAATGTAGCAGTTATAACCTTCCATGAGGAGTTCCTTTGACTTGACACTGCTCATGCAAGTAGACTGTTCACATGAACAGTTACCCAGAATTAAACTTTGTTGGTTTTAAAGGTGCCTCTGCACTCAGACTTTGTTCAGTTATTTGTGTAGGTAGACTTACAAAAATAAAATTTTAATTGACTGGTCAAACCAGAACCACAGATCTCTTCCAGAGATTGTGGAAGAGAAACTGAATATCAAGGAAGCTAAAAAGCCTGTGATGGCCTCACCTTTTAGTGATGTCATATTTGTAGGCTTCATATCTGAAAATATACAGCAGACAAATGTGTACTGAACTGGCAGAATGGCTCCCTTAACATATGGTGCAATTCTAGTTCTGAGGAGACTGTTCTCTAGTCCATTGGTGTCACATTTCACATCGTTCCTGAACCAGGACTGGTTTATGCTAGGGCGACACAACAACTTTTTTAATTCATGGAAACAGGCCAATGTCACAAGGCCGGTAGATCTTGCTTCAAGATAGGGTATTCTTAATAAGGTGAGACTGGAGGACAAAATTGGGGAACCAATACCATGGTTCCTCTATTTATGACTGCAGAACCTCTGTGATAGACAGGATATGGCCAAAATTTTCTCTAGTCCCGTAACAGAGTTTGAATATATACTCCAGAATTATATTACTAGTAACCATTTTCTGATTTCTAAAATGTATCAGGTTTTAATAAAAATGGATAATAAAAGCCCTATGTTATACCAGAAACTATGGGAGTCAGATTGTGAGATGATGCTGTTGGAGAATGCTTGGTAACAGATGTGAAATTCAAATACTTTTTCCTCCCAAATAGTAAGTGTAAGAGTACAATCATTTAAGATTTTGTCTCATTGATACCAAATACCACAGCAGTTATCATGAGTTTTTGCAACATAGCACCTCTCTGCTGGAAGGGGTGTGGAAAGGTGGAGTCATATGCACATTGTTGGTGGCAGTGTGAGAAAATTGAACAATACTGGAAGACAATTTTGGACCAAGTATTCCTTATAACAGGGGAAGTTGTCCCATTCACACTGGAGATATTGTTTCTTAATTAGAAGGATAACACAGTCCCAAATATTAGGAAAGAGCTGATCTCATACCTTCTAATAGCTGCAAAAACATCTATAGCAGCTAGTTGGAAATGCCCAAAACACCTATGCTTCATATATGGTAATGTAAGGTATGGGAGATGTACATAATGGAAAGAATTATATATAAAATGAATCAGTTTGAAAATAATCCTCCTTCCTTGAATTTCGTAGAAGTGTGGCCAATAATATTGAACTAATTGATGCAGATGAGAATGGTCCCCAAAAAACTGAAGTACTTAACTGAATTGCAATATTAAGGATGTTTATAAGTTGCTAGATCTGATGTTTGTTATTGCTTATTTACTTTCTATTCCAATTGTCTTTGTTGTTTGGTAGGTTATTTTTTGTAAAATGTCTGCATAGTTGTCGGTTGTACTAAATACAAATTGTCAATAAAAAAGAGAGGCCCTCAATGGTAGTTGCTAGGCAACCACAACATTCTAGGCTTGATTTCTGACAGTAAAAGGTGTATGTGGGGGAGCAGGCCCCTTTCCAGGGCTATTTTGGCCTTTGATTTTATTATTATTTATTATTTATATTTTTATCCCGCCCTCCCCATAGGGGAGGACTTCTTGGGGCTAGGCTTGGCAGCAACCACTGGGTGACTTGATATCACCCAACTTGCATGGCTTACCTATGCCTAGCTGCTTGCTACTAGGCAATGGCAGCCACCCAATGAAAGCCAGTGTGATATAGTAGTTAGAGCTTCACGGAAGCTCACTAGGTAATGATGTGCCAGTCACATACTTTCAGTGTAACGTATCTCATGGGATTGTTGTGAGGATGAAAAGGAGGAGAGAATGATGGAAGCTGCTTTGGTCCTACTGTGGAAAAAGGTGGGGTTTAAATGAAGTAAATAAATAATAACTATAGCTGAAACTGGGAAGCAGATAAAAGGTAGGTTGGTGAATGACTGAGAAGGAGAGAATGAATCAGGGAAAGAAGAGAGGATATGGGGGTTGTCAGAAGGAGGGAAAGCAGAAATAATTTTGGGCAAGATAAGGGAACGTGATGTGCCCACCTCAGGTTTTTTAGGGTTCCCTACCATGCAAGTGGACCTGGCCCAGCACCTGGCATTGCTCAACTGGGGAATAGTTTTCCTAGGTGAAGGCTGCTGTGGGAGGGGAGCTGAACACAGAGGGGCAGATGAAAGTAGATTGGCTGTTGGGTGGGAAAAAGAGAAGGAAGTAGGAAAAGTGGAGAGTCTGAGGGCCTTCAAGGAAGGTAAAGAGAAAATAATGGGAGAGGGGAAAATGTGATTCCCCCCCCCCAAGTTCTTGCAGGTTCCTCTTTGTTTAACACAGTATGATTGAATTTTTCACAGACATATTGTTAGTTTGATGACTGTAATATCAGTGGTGATTTTCTTGTGAATTGAACATGGGGTCCTGGTTGGACCATATGGTGGATATACATTTTAAAAATAAAAAGTAAATAAATGTTCATATCACTTCATCTCAAACAGCAATTCTCTGAACACAAAACTGCCTTATACTGAGGCCCTTGCAGTGCAATGGGTTTAGACTGGAGTAACACTGTGTGTATTTCACTGTCAAGGTCAGTATTGTCTACTGTGACTGGCAGCAGCTCTCCTGCATCTCAGGTGGAGGTCTTTCACACCCTCTACCTCAGCCTTTTAACTGGAGATACCAGGGATTGAACCTGGGATCTTCTGTGTGTGAATAAGACTGAGCCACAGCTCTTCCCTCAAACTGGTTTATATTTGGTTCATGAAGACTTGCAATCAAGTGATAAGCATGCCTGTATGAATCAAACTGTATTGCTGCTTCTCTTCTGTTTCTTGATAGGGGAAGAATTTGTTTAACTTTGGAAAGATTCTCTTCAACAACACTACCATTTTCCTAAAGTGTAAGTGCATTCAGATGGTAGGTTAAAGTATAATACAGTGTTCTTCTGCAATAGTTATGTCAGCTCAGTCTCCATTTGGACTTTGATGTAATTTTAGTACTCCACAACCCTCTTTGTCTCAGGTTTTAAAAACATTGAGCTATGTCCAGTACATATTCATCAAAGGTCTATAATGTTCTTCCTCTGAATGCTTAGGTATAATGCCACAGCGTCCATGCTCCAAATCAGTTATTTTCTTCAGGGGAACTGATCTCTGTAGTCTGGAAATTAGTTGTAACTCCAGGAGATCTCCACACCCCACCTGGAGGTTGGCAACCATAGTTATGCCCCTTTCCTAGCTTGACACAAAACATGGTATTTGTTTCAAAGGTTTTTCTAGTGCAGTCTTTGGGTATGGTATTTTATGTTTACTTCTGAAGGTTGTGGTCTTGGCATAAACTCTTTGTTTGTGAGCTTATGTTAGGGAGAACAGAAGAAAATTTGGGATACCTGAAATATGTTCTTATTTACATGGCGAGGCCTTCTAAGTTTCATCTTCATGTCTCATTATGATATAATGGGCAATATCTTAACCACTCAGTCTTTAGAAGGTGTACTTCCCACATTCCTCTCTGTTGTGGTAGCTCTTTCCAGCCCCTGGATAGACCATTCCTGGGGCTGCAGGATCTGTGCAGAGGAACAGCTGTTCAGGTGGGGAGGCTGGAGTGAGGAAAGGAGCTGAAATTGCTCCTTCTTCTTCAAGAACAGCTCTGCTGAGGGGAGGAGGAAATTTCATCCCTTTGTCCCTTCTTACTCCAGCCTGTTCATCCCAAGTGTTGTTTCTCCGTATGGATACTGCAACTCCAAGAGTGATCTTTCTGTGGGTCAGAAAGAGCTGCAGCAACAGAGAGGAATGTGGGGAAACTACACTTCTGCAGCGATGGAGGCCAAAGTGGGAAATCTCTGTGTGCCTTCCACACTTGGATAGTAGGATATTGCCCAATAAACTGAGGTTCCAGATTGTAACACACTGATCCCTTTGGTGTCTACAAAGCAACCCATTGTATTGAAGTAGTACTTTCAATGAGTGCAAGAGGTCATCTTTAATAATAGGATAAGAAATGATACTAAGATGTCAGAATACTAAGAGTAAAAAGTATTTTAATGATAGCAGTAATAGGATTAATAAATATTATAACTGTTATTACTGACCATCTACAGAGGCTGGGTACTTTAAAATAACACACAGGTCCTTCCCTCTAAGAAAGGACACAGTAGAGAATGGGGAGTAGAGGGAGAAATGTAGATTTGTGAAATCAATTAGAAAATGTCACGTGGTGAATTTTTATCAGAAGTGTATTTAGCTCTAGGGTTCCTTCTCAGTAAAGGAAGTAATATATTTTACCTTGTTCTCATCTGATTATTATGGATGAGTCTTGTAAGTGGTTATTTCTCAAATTCATCTACATTAAAACAGTTTTATTACTCCCGAGTCTAAACTAAGTTGCACAAATGATAGTTTTGTGCCATTTTCCAGCCGCTTCCACTGTTATCCTCCAGCATTACTATGGAGACAGGATGGAGGCATGTGCTTTCTGCACTTGCTTTTCTTTCAAAAAGTATCTTTTCATCTCTTCAGTGTATTCCTTTTTTCTATTAGTTTGCATGTTTGTGTGTTTTGGCTAGCACTTGTTTGCTGGTATCAGGAATATTTTATTAACAGTAATATATATATTATGGGGTCGCAAAGCGTCGGTCTTGACTATGCGACTGAACAACAATAACAACAATATATATATATATATATATATATGTATATGTGCTCTGGTGTCTTACATTTTTTTATTTGTTTAGTTGATGGCAATGCATCAGCATGTGATCCTTCTCAAAGTTACAAAGTCACCTGGTACCTGAGATATTCTAACTGCTATAATGAAGTCTTCGATTTTGGGGTAAGAATTTGGCATTAAAAACATGTAAGCTCTCAGTGCTATGGATTTGCTATGGATGTAACCCAAGTAACAAGGTGTATCTTTCAAGTGTGTGTGAGCAAATAAAAGCTTTATTTAAAAAAAATCACTGTTCTTAATGTTCTTCAAAACCTTCATTTAAATCTTGTTAAAATTACTTAGGAGTTTCATGGGAAGCAATAACATTTTAAATTTAAAACAAGGAAGGAAACTTAGGGGGAAAATATCTGAATACATTTCATCCATGTGAAATTGTGATGTTTTAAAGAAGAAAAATACTTTGTTTTTGTTGCAAATATTTCATGTGTAATCTGCCTTGTTCTCTTGCCTGCAAATCAATGGGTTTGGACTGGAGTATTTCTGCATAGGATTACACTGTTAGAGTAAATTATTATTTAGCATATTTTTGCCTACTTGTTCAACAATTGCTGATAGCCCTTTTTTGGTAAATGAACAAGTATGCAGGACAAGCCAGAAGCATAAAAGGCTTAACCCTTCCTCGCGGAGCAGATTCAGATTTCCATTCACTGAGGTGGTATGAGAATCCCATGTGATTGTACCATCTTGGGGTTTTGGGAAGAGGGAGAGCTGCTTATGGGAAAGTGTCTCCAATATTATAAATTGTGCCACATGTCAAAATGTGCCACTTCAAGATGTACATGGCATTCAAGTAGTATGGCAAGAGTGCAGCCTCGTACTCAAGCTTCTGTTTCTCATTCTGCTCCCTCCAGTATGTGTATTTTGCCCAGCAAACATGCACATCAGTAGAATGCTTGAAACAGAAATATTGAAGCTGTTCTTGACTTTATATAGCGAAAGGGTCATTACCCCCTTCTCTGGTGGTAGAAGGACAACCACTTGTCTTTGTCCCTGTGATGCTGTGATGTATAGAAAGATTTATTCATCCTTTGTTTGGCTAATACTTTAAAAAGACTCCTAAAATAACAACAGATGCAGCATCTAGTAATTTGAAATATTTGTGTGAGAAGCCATACTATCTCTCTCTTCAGTTTTCAAGTTGCTTGCCCAGCAAACCCTTTCTCTCTTGATAGGTCTGCCAACTAGATCAAGTCATGTTTTATGTCTTGACAGGATAAGCAGACAGAGAGAGATTTTTCTGAAGAAATTCGAGGTTGGTCAGGACACTATGCTAATTCTACACTCTTCTTCCCCAACTGCTCCGAGCTCTTCAAACCACAGGTGCTACTGGGTCATAAAACAAAGTCTACCTGTACTACCTTATAATGTTTTATTTCTATTGTAACCTGCTTTGAGTTCTGCAAGGGAGAAGGGGGCTAATTTATTGCTTGTGTGGTTGGAGGCAGTCTGGAAGCCTCTGGATTTTAAAACCTGTTCTCCCCCCCCCCCCGTTTTAATGGTTTATGTATATTATTGGAATGAGGCTGAGATGAGAAAAATGTCAACTATGCATGCCCCAGCTCTCATGTTACAGACTCACTGTTTGCCAAGCCCTGGTTTTGGTAGATCAATAACTCTTGTCTTCATTGAACAAAGGCAAAGATTGGCCACCTTTTTGTACATAAAGGACCAGATTCTCACTTTCCAAGCTTCTTGGGTGGATCCTTCCTACACTAGCCTGGCTGTGGAGAATCTAAGCAAGATGTTTGATAGAGAAGGCAAAGTAAGATGGGGGGAATGTGGTAGAGTTGGGCCCCTCCCATTGGGAGATTAAATTCTGCTCTCTGGGTAGTGAGAGAGGTGCCTACAGTGGGATGCCCTGCATTCCCAGTCTGATTCAGGGGTGGGTTGATGAGCAAGGAAAGCAGGGTAGGAGATGGATTCCCTACCCATCTCACAGTTCTGCCAGTTGGCTACCTCTGCTGTTGGGGACATGCTTGATTTATATTGTATCTTGTCACTCTCATGCATGAACTGTGCATGTGACCATCATAC